TCGGCTTCCAGCGCGCATGGCGGGGGCTGGGGCTACTATTATTATTAGTTTGGGGTTTTTTCCTCAGCGGGGGGGTTGGAGCCAGGGGGACACACGGAGCCAGGCTGCGCTTGGCCACTCGCCGCCTCCTCGGGAAGCAAACAAACAAAGCCCGGCGCTTCCAACACCAACATTTTTTTTAGTGGGGGGGCGGGATTGAGGGACTCGCCTCCTCACCCTCGGCCGGAGCCAGCCCCGGAGAGCCGGGGAAAGCGGACAAAGTCGGGCTAACGGTGCGACTCCATCTGGGGGGAATAGGAGAAGTAATAATAGCCCCGGCTGCTGTGTGTTTTGAACCACTTGTGCAGGGCAGAGGAATCAATCTGCATGTGGGTGTGCATCGCAGAGCAAGCAGAGGCGCCAGGATTGGCTTTTTTCTTTTCTTTTTTTTTTTTTTTTTTAAATGTCTCTTTTTCACAAACCAACCAAGTCCTGCTCTTTGAAACGCGGGTCCTTCGGGGGCAGGAATAAACACAGTCCCACCCGCACACATCCACGCAGAGCAGGCAAGTCCTCGTCCCCTCCCCCTCCAGGCAATGCCCGTCTGGCCCCTGCTTGGGTTTGTTCTGTAGTGGCTGAAAAATACTCGTCTGGGGCCAGGCTGCAGCACACAAGGCTTCCCACCCACCCCTCTTAATAATAATATATATAGGAAAAAATAACATTTCTAGTCTTGACCCGCCTGTCCTCGCCCCTACTTTTACGCTCGTGCTTACCAGAGAAGAAACCAAAAATAAAATGTAGTGGGGTGTGTGTGTGTGTGTATGTGTGTGTGTATATATATATATATATGTATATATATATATAATTTGAAGGGGCGGACTAAATTCTTTCCCCGCGACATCCCTCTTACTCCTCACGTCAGTGCATCCTGCACCGAATTGAGGCAGGCTGGCGAGCGGGCTTCGCGTCGGTCTCTGCTTGTTTGTGTGTTCATATACATATTTACTGGGTCATAGATCTATACTATTTACTAGACAGACAGGGATTAGGGCATCTATTGATAAGTGCAGGAAAGGTAATTTTGCCAACAGTTTTTTTCCCCTCTGATTTGATTGTTCAAATGGAGATCCCCCACCCCCAATAAGATGAAATGCCTGTTCACAGGATGAAATCTACGCAGATCGGAGGTGCGTAATTCTTTGTCCGGCGCGGGGTTTCATGCACAGAAGACAGGGAGTCCTGCTAGTCCAGACTGAGCGTTGGGTCGGTAAACGCCAAATGAATATGGACAGACGCCTCCGTCAGCTGAAGCCTCTTCCTCCTCTCTCCGGCCGTGACTTGATCCTGTCTTTCTGGCTAGCAGCGCTTGCTCCCCAAATTTGTCTTTCCAGGCTGCAGATTCAGGGCGTGCGCTGTCCTTGAACTGACCCTGCAGCCCGCGGGCACAGCCAGCGAGCAAACGGGCTGTCCTTTTCTCGAACCCGTCTCAGAAAGGAGGGCTGGAGGGGTGCCCCCGAATCACGGCTGGGGCGTTAGAGAGGGAGCGCAGCTTGGCAGTTCCAGTCTCCCACCCCGTCAGCCTCCAAGATAACTGAATAATCGTCCAGACAATTAGCCACTTACTTATTCAGCCCCACTTCTCGGCAAAAGAGTTTAAAGAAAGATCCTGCCTCTGAGCATGGAAAGGCCCCAAACACGTCCAAGAAAAATGCGGTGTTGAGCATATTGCATGGAGGGGGGAAAAAACAGTGTTAACGTCTCCAAGAAAGCCTGCCTGCTTCCTTCCTTCCTTTCTTTCTTTCTTTCCTCTCCCCCATTCCCAGATCCCCCTGCTCTGCGTGCTGGCTCCGGGAGGCTGCTTTGGGACACTTCGGGGGGAATTCGTTCATTCCAGTCCGAGAGCCCGCAGGCTGGAGTCTCTTTGCTATTCTTTAAGGCTCCAGTTCTTCTCTCTCTGCAGGAAACAGAGGAGCTGATCCAAGTTCAAAGTCACGTCGCCGTCCCCTCTAAGAAGTGCTTTATTTCTCTACAAACCGCAAAACCCCTTTCCCCATGTCACAGGGTGCCACCCAAGTTGGAGAGAGAGAGAGAGAGAGGAGAGAGAGGGGAGAGAGAGAGAGAGAGAGAGGAAAAAAAAAAAACCCGGCAGTCGCTTTCAGGGCCATTGCCAGAAATGCAGGCTTAAGCTCATTCTTTAGAAGGAAGAAAGCGGCCGGGCAAACGCGGTGGTACAGTGTTTTAGTGAAATAAGTTTTTCAACAGGTCTCTGGAAGGTGCACGCACTGCAGTGCTGCCAGACCCGCAGCACCCCCGGCAGCCTCGCTGGGGAGCTTCTTCCCTGCCTGTAAGTTGTTCCGAAATTTTCTTTAAGTCTGCTCTCCTCTCGTGCTTACGGACTGCTTATCCCGATGGGGTGAGAGGCAGGGCTTTTCCTCTCACTGCATAGACCGTCTTCGTCTTTTACAATCTCCCGCTCCTTGGGTTGGTGATCATCAGCTTTCCAGAGGACAGCTGAGTATTGGAGGGGATCCGGCACCTGATTGTTTTTTGGTCAGTAGGTTGCTGTTCGCCTCGGAAATGTGCGCCGATGGTATTGCAAAATGCTGCCATGGACCTTCTGCAGGGAATGAATGGTGGCGTGAAGCCGGATTGATATACGTACGTGTACAAAATATATCTTGATGCATGTATCTTTGGGACGAGAGGAATGGGACGGGAGGGGGGTGTTGAAAGTGGAGATGTGATGCATGCTTTCTCTGCCAAATTCCAGCTTTGTTTCCCTCTGGAGCGAAGAGAGGGGCGCGGGCTGGGCTGAGGGCGAGGATGCTGGCTGTTTAACCTGAAAAGAACAGAGCAATTTAACAGAATCACTTGCCCCGTTGTCTGTATCACAGACACATAAATTCAACAAGATCATCAACAGGATATTAAGTTGCAGGTTACCTTTGATTTTGCCGATCTTAGCCACTTCTAGGCCGTTCGACCTATGACCCGTGAAGACCACATGTGTTGTGTTGTAGCCTCCCTCTGTAAAACACACTTCGGAACAAAAGTTCTTTGTCAGAGTTTCACAGGAGTGTAATGTAAAAGAAAAGGGAAATCATGAAAATCTCAGCCAAAGCTGTAACTTTTTAAATGCCATTTTTTAAAAACCACCACAATGGGCGGGGGAGCTTACAAAGGCGCACCTTTCTTTCATACCATTAAAATTTATTGTTCTCTCAGTTGTGCTTATAAAAAGTTGCTATATAAAAATGCATTCGCCAGTGATTGAGTGAAATAGGGTAGGGCGCGTGTGGTTTTTTTTTTAAAGGATTGAAGGATCAGTCACGTAAAAGCAGCTCTCTGGATAATATCTTAGCAGTCCTGATGGTGCTGCTGCCCCGCGCTGCAAGCTTCTTCGCTCGCCCCACGCTTCCCCTCGCAACATTTTTAATAACTGTAAAAATAAAAACCACCCCACCCATGCTCCGGCAGGAAAAAGTGTGATTTTTCCCAATGCCCCTTGCCCGTATGGAGGTTGCCACGTAAAGCCTAGTGCCCACAGAGCAGCTTTCCAATAAAGTGCACTATTGCGATGGACTTTGTAATACGATTTATGCTGTCATTCATAAATAACAATGCCATATGGTAACCATATTGCTTATACAAGGAAAGCCGTCAAAGTGTCACTATTTGATTTATCTCAACAGCTTCTTCAAATGTTGACGCTCAGATAGAGAGAAAAAATATACACATTTTTTTTTAAATACAGCGTGTCATCAGCACGGGAACCAGCCCAACACGACTGGCCTATGTTTTAATTTATTTGATTTGATTTCATTTCATTTTATTTTTACAATATTAGGAAATAAATGAGTGGGACGTGCACCTAGAGACCTATTAGGGGCGTTTATGAAGCGGGAGTGCACTAGGAATGACTGCTTCGAAACTTTGTGGTCAGAGCAGAAGTGAAGTTGGGCAGGAAGGAGCTCTCCCCCGGGTCCTCAGTGAGCGCCGCGCTCTGGTTTTCCCCATCAGACCTGAGTC